CAGGAGCTGTGGGTGCGCTGGAGACTAGGAAAATAGATAACCAACAGCTTTCATGCACTTATATTCCAGAGAAGGATAACGAAGAAGTAAATGTACAGATCGCAGATACACAGTCGTCCCAGGATTCCAAGGGGGATTGGCTCAAGGATCCCTGCGGATGCTGATATTGGAGGATGTTCAGGCCCCTGCCGTGGAGACCCTCCACTCCCCTCCCACACCTCGAGGTCACTCCTAATTCCTAACACAATGTAAACACTGTGCCCATGGTTGGTCTGCACTATTCTGGGAACAATAGCAAGAAGAGCTTGCATGTGTTCAGTACAGGGGCAGCTGCTTATTTTTCGACCGATTTTCAGCGCAAGGTTGTTGAACTTGTGGATAAGGAGGGACAACGGTACCACGTAGCAGAAGGTGAAAGACGCAAGAAAAATAAAGCAGGGCGAAGGAGCAGGGTATCGGGCTGCTGTTTTATGGCAGAGAAGGGCTGTTGGATAAGCTGCTTTTGTGGAGAGACATGAGGAAGTAAAGGGGTGGACCATGAGTCCGTGGGGGTCCGGGCTATGGGCAAAGGGTCCAGCAAGGGGACAGGCAGTTGAGAGCATGGGGTCCTGAGGTCACAGGGAGGCTGTGGCAGAGAGGGAGGGGGGAGGGCGTAGGAGAAGAGGGCCATTTTATGCAGGGCCTTAAGCAGCCATGGGGAGACCCGTGGATTTTGCTCAGAGCTAATGGCAAGTGTGGCAGGTTTTTGAACAGAGAAGCTGCACAATTCCATGTAGGTTTTACAAAGACCCCTCTGGCTGCTGTGTAAAGAAGAGGCTAGCCCAGTGTGGTGGTGCACGCCTGTAATCCCAGTGGCTGGAGAGGCTGAGGCAGGAGAATCACAAGCTCGAGGCCAACCTCAGCAATTTAGAGAGGCCCTAATCAACTTAGTGAGACCCTGACTTAAAAAAATAAAAAGGACTGGGGATGTAGCTCAGTGGTAAAGTACCTCTGGGTTTAATCCCTAATACAAAAGAAAAAAATGAAGAAGAAGAGACTCTGGGGGTCCAGAGTGAGCAGAGAGATCACAGAGAAGACCGTTGTAACAGGCAGGTGAGGGATGAGGTTGGCTTGCACTGCAGGCGTGGGAAATGGCCCCATTGAAAGGTGTAACCAAGATTCCCTAAAGTGGCAACTTGGAAGCTGCTAAGACTAGCTCATTTGATCTTCCTACACATTGATTCTTCTAACAAGAATTACTTGATTTTAGATGCATTATTGTTTTCCTTATTTATTTATTATTTTAGCCTGAACAAAGGAGAAGTCTATTTCTCACATCTGGGTTTGGGCTGGTGGTCCACTGTGATCTGCCAGCTCGAAGGTGCTGGGGGTTCAAGTTCCCGCTATACCGCTCTTGTCCCCTGTTCTAGGGCAGGAGTTGGAATCTATGGACGACAGGCAAAAATCTGGTGTCTGTGTTTGTACGACTCTTAATCTGAAAATGGTTTTTATACTTTGTATTATTTATTTGCTTGTTTGTTTATTCTAACTAGGTCTATGTGACAGTTGAATGCATTTTGATTCATTGCACACAAACAGAGCACAAGTTTTCTTTTCTCTGGTGTACACGATGTGGAGTCGCCCAGTATGTGCAGTCCTACATGTACCTAGGGTAACGATGTCCGTCTCATTCCACCATCTTTCCTGCCCCCTGCCCCCTCCCCTCCTGTTTGCCCAATCAAAGCTCCCCCATTCTTTCCATGCCACCCCCCATTATGGATCAGCACCCACTTATCAGAGAACATTCAGCCTTTGGTTTGGGGGGATTGGCTTACTCTGCTGAGCATGATAAAAGAAGTATATTCCATGACACATGAAAATGTTATGGAATTCAAATTGCAATGTCCGTGAATTTTATCGGAACAGCCCTGACGCTCATTTATGTATTATCTGCAGTCACGATAATGGGTTGAATTGTGTCCCCCCCCCCCAAATATGCTCAAGTTCTGACTCCTGGTGTTCATGCCTGTGACCTTATTTGGAAATAGGGTCTTTGCAGGGGTGACCAAGTTAAGGTGAAGTCATATTGGATTAGGGTGGGCCCTAAATTTAATGACTGGAGTTATGGATTAGATATGAGGTGTCCCCCCCAAAACTCATGCGTGAGGCAGTGCAAGAACGTTGGGAGGTGAGATGATTAGATTATGAGAGCTGTCACAATCCGTGGATTAATCCACCAAGTAGGCAGGTAGGGTGTGACTAGAAGAGGTGGGTCACTGGAAGTGTGACTTTGTGGGCCACCCAAGCAGACGGGAGGATTCGTAATGAGCGCGTCTGTCCCATAAACCTAAAATATTTATCCTGTGGCTCTTTATAAAAAAGTGTCTACCGGCCTCTGATCTAGAGTCTTGCCCTTATTTGTACAGTTGGAGGTGGCCTGCCACCTTATCTGCAAAGGAAAAAAATTAATCACTGCTAGTGTCACACCCACTTTATAGATGGGGGGATCAGAGCAAAGAAAGGTTAGGGCTTAACCAAATGAGGTGGTCCTGTTCTCTTCACAATGCCCCCAAATCCTATCCTCCTCCTCCCAACCTCAGCACCACGACTCTCTTTGGGGGACACCCTTCTCCAAAGTCCCCACCCACAGTGTAGGCAGGGCTGACCCCATGTCCTGGTTCCAGGGTTTGGTACCCAACTGCATTAGTTAGCTCAGGTTGTCATAACAAATATCACAGACCGAGTGGCTTACACATCAGAAACTTATCTCCTCACAGCTCTTGGAGGCTGGGAAATCCAAGGTCAAGGTCTGGTTTGGTTTGGCTTGGGGGAAAGTTCATTTCCTGGTTTGTAGGTGACCAGGTCTTGCTATGCCCTCTCACCTTTCCTTGGTGAGTGAATATGCAGAGAGATCAGTCCCTCCTTATTCTTTTAAGGCCACCAATCTTAGCAGATTTGGAATCTGTTTAACCTCATTTAAACAAAATTAACTCCTAAAAGCCCTGTCTCCAAATACAGTCACCTTGGGGGTTAGGGCTTCTGCATAGAATTTGAAAGGGCAGAGACACAAGGCAGGCAAGGGAAATCAGTGCATTTTCTTGCTTGGTTGCTTTTCACATGATCTGAGGCGATTATGCTAAGGCATGGCACTTGCTATAATTTTCAGGAAAGCACAGGTCTGGTTTCCTCTGCACTAAGAAGAATGTGAGAGTAGAGTAGCAGAGCATCTGGAGAGGAACTGCCAGAGAGTACAATCCACGTAGAAGAAACAGAGCTAAGTGGTGGAGAGAAAACAAGAACTTAGAACATTGCAACAACTAGATCAACCTATACCTGAAAGAGATTCCCTGTGGACTTATCCATTAACATGATGCTTTTCCCCCCCACTTAAGCCAGTTCTGTTTCTGTACTTGCAACCTCATGAATTCTGGCTAATGAACAATGGTCTCATAGCTAAGAGTAGTGAAGAAGAAATCTGAAAGCAGATCTGCTCAGCATTAAGTGGCTCAACACAGAATTTCTTGGGCTTAATCCCAGAGCCACCCTTCCAGATCATGGCTGGGTTCTGGTATTCTTTAATGCATTTACCCTCACTCTCCTTGGGGCCGGGTTAGGAAGGCACAATGAATATGATTAAATAAAGATGATTATTCAAATAAATCCGAGTTACTGCTGGGAGTACCCCCTGCAGTGAAGTAACACAGGCTTCCCAGAAGTAAGGTTGCAGTGTAGGCCCTCACAAAGGTCTCAGATGAAGTCCCAGCAGATGGAGAAGGGACATTCCCTGCTGGAACCAAATTGCTTGGGTTCCAGACACAGCTCTGCAAAGGCTGTGTGACCTTGGGCAAGCAGCTGAATCAGGCTGAGCCCGGTTTCCTCATCTGAAACATGGGGAGAATAATAATACCCATTTCTTAGCATTATAGGGAACTGGGTGAACGCGACTATAGCACACAGTAAGCCCTTTGCATAAACTATGATTATTATTCCAGACTCTTCACTGTCTCAGACCCAACGCCAGCCTCGGCGACCTCGGGTTTCTTAAAGGATCATCACCACCTCCTCCCCCTCTCTTACACTTTTCTTTCTTTGAGAGCATTTTCTGGCTGTAGGAGCCTGTCTTTTCTGATCCCCTCTTTTAGCAGGGGAAGGGCAGAAGCCTCCTCTGTCAACCGCTCTTTCCCCAGGACCTCCTCTCCGCCTGGCACACAGTAGGTGTTCAGTGAATACCAGTTTGAAAAAAAGGGCAGCCGCACAAGGCAGGGACCACTTCCGTCCCCGGGCCTGCCACGCCACCACTGGGAGAGCTGGGGGTGGGGTGCTGGTGGGAGGACCGGCAGTCTGGCTGCGAGCGCTTCTCTCCCTTTCAACTTCCCGGTCCCAGAGCCTGACGGCACGACTCCGGAGGCTCCTCGGGCGAGGCCACCGCCCCGGAATCAGGGCCTTCCCAGTCCTGCCTTCGCGGAGGGAGGACCGGGTTGGCCCGCGGGAGGCCAGTTCCCAGCGCATCCAGAAGTCCCTCCCGCCGCCCGGCGTCGCTCGAAGGCGGAGGCCCGGGAGGGGGCCGACCCCGCCCGCCGCGCGCTCGGCTGGCTGCCCACTTCGGCATTTCCTCCCGCCCCTGGCGCGGCCTGGCCTCGCTCCCCTCGGAAGAGGAAGCTCCCGCGGCCCGAGTAACGGGCGCCGGCGCCGAGGGCAGCGGCCGGAGAATCCGGAGGGCCACCCGCGGTAGGACCGAGCCAGGCCGGGCCAGAAGCTGGCCGAGGGCGGCGCGCCGGGGCGCCGGGCGGGCAGGGCCGCCGGGCCGGACGCAGCGCGCAGGGCGCGGCCGGGAGCCGGGGCGTGCAGGGCGGGCCGCAGCTGGAAGGAAAACTTGAGCTGGGAGAGGAGGCCGAGCTGCAGGGCGGCGGCCCCCCGCCGGCGGACGGGGGAGCCGCCGCGGAAGCCGAGGAGACGGGCGCCGCGGGGCCGCCGGGTGGCCGCGCGCATGCTGGGCCCGGGGCGCCGGCTGGGCTCGGGGCGCCTCCTGGGCGCGCGCCCTGGGCTGCTCGGCCGCCGCGGCCCCGCGCGCCCGGCATGTCGGTGCACTACACCCTCAACCTGCGCGTCTTCTGGCCGCTGGTGACCGGCCTGTGCACCGCCCTCGTGTGCCTCTACCATGTCCTGCGGGGAAGCGCGGGCGCCCCGGCCGAGCCCCCCGACGGCGCGGACAGCGGCTTCCCGCTGCTCAAAGTGGCCATCCTGCTCCTGCTCGGGTACGTCCTCCTGCGCTGTCGCCACTTGGTGCGGCAGCGCTTCCTGCCCGGCTCTTCTCGCCTGGCGGGCCACTCGCCTTTCTCTCCTAGACACTTGCGAGAGCCCGGCCTGAGCATCCTGCTGGAGAGTTACTACGAGCACGAGGTGCGCCTGTCCCCGCATGTGCTGGGCCACAGCAAGGCGCACGTGAGCCGGATCGTGGGCGAGCTGGTGAGGGCTGGCCGTGCGCGGGGCTCCCCGGGTCCCATCCCTGGAGGAGCTCTGGCCTTGGCCTTCCGCGGAGACTTCATCCAAGTGGGCAGCTCCTACGAGCAGCATAAAATCCGCCGCCCCGACAGCTTCGACGTGCTGGTGCCCCTGCGCCTCCCTCCACCGGTGGCGCTGGAGCCGCGGAGCCTGGGCACGGAGCCCGCGCTGGCCCCTGCCTTCGGCAGCTGCTTCGTGTGCGCCCTCAAGGCGCCGCCCTCGCTGTCGGGGACCTCCGGGGGCCAGTGGCTTCGGGACTGCAAACCCTTCGCGGACGGCTTCTGCGTGGATGTGCGCGGGCGGCGCCATCTCTCTGCCGCGTCGGTGCTGCGTTGGTTCCAGTCGCACCTGCAGCGCTCCCTGGCTACCGTGCGCTACAGCTTGGAGGGGCGCTGTCGGGTCAGCCTGACCCCCGGCGGCCTGGAACAGCCTCCCACCCTCCACATCCTGCCCTGCCGCACCGACTACGGTTGCTGCCGCCTTTCCATGGCTGTGCGTCTCATCCCCGCCGTCCATCTGGGCGACGGTGTCTTCCTTGTGGCACCGCCACCACCACCTTCGCCCGTCGGGCCCCTGTTGGAGCTCCCAGGAGGCCTAAGCACTGAGGCGCTGTGGGGTGTGAACACAGCTCGTCAGGAGCAGAAGCTCCTGGGGTGGCTGCAGGAACGGGCCCCTCCAGGTGCCTGCTACCTCAAGTGCCTGCAGTTGCTTAAGGCTCTGCGAGACCTGGGCGCCCGCGGGCTGGACCCGGTGGCTGCCACCCAGTGGGGACGCATCCTGTCGTCGTATGTGCTCAAGACGGTGCTGCTGACGGTGCTGCTGCGCGATGGGGTCCCTGCCCACGGCTGGGAGGAGGCGCACCTGAGCGAGTGCTTGGAAGAGTTGGTGCAGTTCCTTCGGGGCTGTCTGCTGAGACGGCACACGCTCTTCCACTGTGTACTGGGCCCCGGAGGGGCGGCCACCGAAGTGGGCCCGCTGCCCAAGGTACTGCGTGAAGCCGCCCCGGTTGACCTTCTGGCCGCCTTCGACCCACACGCCCGCGAACTCACAGCGGCGAGGCTGCTGTCCACGTGGCGAAGGCTGCCGCAGCTTCTCCAGGCCTACGGGGGTCCCCGCTACCTTGCCAGGTGCCCCCCACCCAGGAGTCAGCGCACACAGGGGTTCCCTGAAGATGAACCCTAAACCTTGACAGCACTTGCACCTGACCAAATGCTCCTAAAACCTTTCCCTTCGGGTGACTGTAGGGATGAAGCCAAAGGCAAGATGACTGTGTTGGACAATTTGGAGGATGCCACAGGCTTTGGTGGCTTAGATGTCACCCCTGGCTCCACAACCGAATATATAGTTACTGCATCTTCTTAACATCCGCAGGATGGTTCTGAACAAACTGGCATAATGCCCAGCTGCAGCTGTTGAGATTTGGCCACAAGGGTGATCTGTGTGGAATCTTGCAGAGAGATCTGTTCCCAGGGAAATCTAAAAGAGAAAGCAAAAACTAGCTACAAAGCAAGTTCCCTCGGTCAGTTTCTAGACACAGACCTCAGTGCACCCAGATTTTTTAAAATTAACAAATGTTTGTGACAGACCTATTTGCTAGAAAGTAGGTTCCCAACTGAATTGGAAAAAAAAAAGGAAGAAAACTCTCTGAATCTTTAGGGACAATTGAAGTTCTAGTGCAGCATTTAGTATTCTGAGGAACATTGTTTCTCTATTCAAATTAATATCAATGTATTTTATGGTGCAATCACAGATGTTTGATAGGATGCTCAAGAGCAAGTAGCACTTTATGCTGATCACTTTTCTTGTTTTGTGGTGGGAGCACCAAGCCTTGCAGCTGAAAGGAAGGCCGGTTACTTTTATTATGAAGACATGTGCAGCTTTGAAAAGCAGCCAGGAGTTGCTTCACATGCCCCCAGGCTACGAGCTACACTGGGTACCAGTCAGTCAACACCAGTTTGTTGAGCGCCTACTGTGAGCCAGCACAAGGCAGAGCAGCAGCAAAATACATAATTGACACTGGTGCAGGCATGAAACATGTTGGATCTTGAGAAAGAGACTGTTCGGTCTTTTGCCTATAAAGATGTCTGGCCAGCCTTTGCTTCTGGCTGAACACAGAACCCTTTTTGGTTTTAAGGCTTTTGAAGCAAACTCCTCCGCAAGGGTGTCTTTCTGAGTAGCTAGAGGCTAAAAGTTTCTTCTTGCTTGCCCGGGGAAGCCCAAATGGTCCCAAAGGGCCAGCTTTGAGAGGCTCTTGATTCAGCTTGGGTTTTGCAAAACAGTCACATACAGATCAGTACCTCGGGATCTGTCCTAGAGATCAGTGACTCCGGATCCCAGGGCAGAGCCCTAAGTTAGAGGAAGAGCAGGAGAGACAGCAGTAGTCTGCTCTTGTTTTCTCTTTGGGTGCAGATATCACAGGGTTGGGTGAATGGTGCAGCTAGGGATTTGAGAGCTGGGTTTGAGATTTTCCTTTTTCTCCCAAATGCAGTTCAAGGTTAGAGTGGTGTAAGAAGCACTGATTGGAAATGCAGCCAGTCTCAGCCTTATAGTTGGGATTAAAAAAAAAAAAAAAAAAAAGACATGTACTTCCTTAGATTCTTAAAGGCAAAAGTTTGCAAGACAGAAATAGTTACATGAATAGGATCGTTGTTTAATTTCTGAGCTATTTTGGGGGAGTTGCATAAGCTGCCTTTCTTTAGGGGATCCACTTGACCTCCGTGGGAAATCCTTGTGGATAAATGATTTACAGGGCATCCTTCTCAGACCTACATAGGGTTCTTTTATCCTTTTCAACCTTGGACTGAAAGAGAAACAGCCTCAAATAGTGCGCTGTCTCTTCAAGGTTGTTCTGGGGGACCACTCTCTTTGATACCCCAAGGGTTCTTTCTAGCTTTTGAGGCGAATGTCAATTCATGAGGTACTACATTGAGCAAAGAAATGAATTACAGCTTTCTGCAAAGATATAAACTGCACAGTGTTTTTTTAAAAATTTACTTTTTAAAATAAATGCCAAGAGTAGATCTTATCTATATATCTATGTATTTATATAAACATAATTTCCATACTCAGCCCGAAGTTCCCCTGTAGTCATTAAGTCTACTGGAGTGGGGAAAAATGGGCTATTGGGTGGATTATAAACCTTTAAAAACTAAATTTTCCAGATATTTCTAGCTGAGTCGGTAGCTTTTTTTTTTTTTTTAATCTTAATAGTATTTTAAAGTATAAACCTGGTAATGTAGTATTCTTGTAGTTTTTTATATTATTATTATTATTATTTCAGGTAAATTACCCCAAACCTCATCCATCCTCAAGGTTTTTAAATTTTAGTTTTTTAAATTAATGGGCATTGTATTTGTGACTTTAAAAATATTAATGTTTTATTTAAATGCCATATGCTGAGCAATTATTCTCTGTACATGGTAACCAAAACTTAAAGAGATTTCGATCAATTTTGATCAATTTTAGTGATCCAAAACATGTACTGTGTACAAATGAAATAAGATGGCATATTAGCTAGGTGTGATGGTGGCCCAAGGCATTTACATTAAATTCAATTCTGGATTTTATTAGGGCTCCATCATATCCCTCATCTGAAATATACACATTTTTGGTGTATGCTTGGTACTGGAGATTTATATATCAATATTCTCATACAAGAAGGCTCTACAGAAATAGGGAGAAAACTGTTTAGCCAGTGCCCCAAGAAAATGTTTTGGGGTAATCCCAGTGGCTCGGGAGGCTGAGGCAGGAGGATTACGAGTTCAAAGCCAGCCTCAGTGACTTAGTGAGGCCCTAAGCAACTCAGTGAGACCTTGTCTCTAAATAAAATATTAAAAAGGGCTGGGATGTGGCTCCGTGGTCGAGCACCCGAGTTCAATCCCTGGTACTACCCCCCAAAAAAAAAAGTTTTGGGGAAGATCTCTGGGCCATTTTGTGAGACACCCTTCAGTAACTCCCACTGACCCGGCGCAGAGCCTTCCTGGAATGTTTGTGGACCAAGAAAAGATGGTTTTTGCAAGAAAAGAATCTGGAGCTGCAGGATGGGAGAATGTGAGTGAGCAGAGAGAAATCTGGAGAATTCAGGAAGGCAGGCTCAAGGTGGAAGGGAGAGAGAGGGGGCAGAAGGGAGAAGAGGACCACCAGAGGGTGCGGGAGAGGTTTGGGTTAGGTAGGAAACACATTTTTAGGGGTATGCTCTTTCCAACTGGGGTTCGCAAACTCAGCAGCCTGCGGGAACAAGGGAGGGAAGTAAATAAGGAAGAGCGGGGGCTGTGCCCACCTTAGAAGGGGGCAGCCGTGGCTCAGCTCTATGCTGGAAAAGGGAGGGAGAGATCGGGAGGATTTTTTTTTTTTTTTGCTAAGTTTTTTTTTTTAAACTTATGATTATTTAAATCAATGTTTTTAAATGTCCAAAACATTTAGTTGAGCCTGAGGGCCATCAGTTTGCGACCCTTGTCTTAACACAGTCACTCCCCCCAAGTATGTATAAGTTTCTATTCTTTGTTATGGACATGGTAGTATTATATATAGTTGGGGGTCCGATATTTCAGTTCTTCTCTATCTCTCAGAGTTAAGCTTTATTGTAAAAAAAAAAAAAATTAACGTGGCCACAGATAACACTTAACTTTCAGTTTCCTGAAGGAACTTTGAAGTAAAGCCATTTTTTTTTTTTTTAAACCAGATCCTCTGTCAAACCACTTGGCACTTTTTTCCTGAGGACTTGTGGTAAACCTCTTTTGCCCCTGGAGTTTACAGATGAGTAATCAGGAAGGATTGCAGAAGAACTTGTTTTCTTGTATCTGGTTGTTGGATTAAAATTATTCTTAATATTTTTGTTTGTGGGATCCCAGCCTGTCCCTTTAGAGTCGTGGTCGGTCACCATGAACAGTGCTGGGTCTCAGGGCCAGACATCTTAGGCTTGTACCATTCCCACTGCGGAGGATGCTGGTCTGGTCAGTCTTGACTCCAGGGCTCCCACCAAAGTTAACATTTTTTTGCACTTGGAGGGGATGAACATGCTTCCAAAGCATCTCCTGGCACCTCTCAGAAGAGGTTCTTTGGTAACATGTGACTTTGACCTTGATGAAAATGCTTCCTCATCTCTAGCCACTTGGATAACAATTTTCTCCGGTGGTGGAGCGAATGAACCTCATCCACATTCCCAGTGTCCCTCAGGAGGAAACCAAGTTAAATGTTATCATTGTGGTGTTAGTTTTTGTTTTTTTTTAAATCACTTGTCTGTGACTTAGACATGTCTGTTTATAATTTTATATCTACATAGCAAATGAGTGGGTGGGAAATGCAAATATAGGTTGGGAGAAGGTAGAGAGGATGCTATCATATTACAGAGAAAATAGACTCAAATGTGCAGCTAAATTATATATATATAATCTGTTTTTTTGAAGTATCAGGTATTCAGGAATATTTTAGCACCTTTTGCTTTAATTAAAAAGAAAAGTGCCTTGATTCAGTCACCTGACTTAAAACATTCCTCAGTTCTATTGTTAATTAATTACGTGTCTTCTGATGCCAAACTGTATTATGATGCGGTCTTGGGGCTGCAGAAGTTGTGTTCCAATAACAGAGACCAAAGAGTTAACCAGATCTCTCTCGGCTGCTATTATTGTGTGATTAGAAAGCATTTTAATCACGCCAAATTTCCATGGCCCAAATGGCTCATGCCTGGCCTGTTATTTGTTTTTGAGTTCAAGTTGGAGTAAATTTGCACTTTCCATCATCTAGGTCATTTGAGGACCTTGTTCTTTTCTGTCTTGCTGTATTAATAAAGAAATTTGTAGAAACCTCTAGACTGCGTGTCACCTTGGGGGTGGGCTTTCCTCTTCCTGGCTCACGGTTCTTGGCAGAAGCCTCAGCAACCTTTATGAAAAGCTTTTCCACGCAGGGAAGTTGGAGAGAATTATTTGTACAGAATAGGCTCCGTGTACAGGTGGGGAAAGACGCTTGTTCATAACCCAGCAGGGGTGTTACCTGGGATTCTCTCTTCAAGTCTTGAATTTTTTTTTTTTTTCATTTTTTTGTAGGAGGGATTGAACCCACGGGTGCCTCACCACTGGGCAACACCGCCAGCCCTCTCCCTCCAAGTCTTTCCCTACCTAGAACTCTCTGCCCTTCCCCCATCCCTCTTCCTTACCCCCCACCCACTAACCTCACACACGGTTCAAGTCTTAGCCTGTGGCTAATTCAGAGCTCAAGAATTTTGTCCAGAAATCTCTTGGGCCCTGGGGCGCTCTCCAAATGGTAAACACGGGCTGATAAAAAAAAAAAAAAATCACCAGGTTTAGCCTGAGATGGAATCTTGGAGGCTCTGAGGACAGTTCAGAGCCTGAGAGGGAAACCTGTTACCTCGGGCTGAGTAGCGGGTAGGGGGGACTCGGTGGGTGTGCTTTGTAATACTGTCCCAGGGTGTTGAGGACACACACACACACACACACACACAGGCCTACACAGACCAGCCTCTCCCAAGTCTTTGCAAACAGGGAGGCAGGCCATTAAAGGAGTCATTTTTGTACAGTGTGTGGGGGCTGCTGAGCAGAGGACAGTCATGGAAATAGAAGGGAGGCACTTTTTCCTGGTGGGGGTTCTAGGGTCAGATCCTCTGAGTCGAGATCCAAGGATGGACAGGAATGGACCAAGCAGAGGGAGCTGGGCTGGAGAAGAAGAGGTCAAACGCCCAGGTGCTTTCTAGTTCACCTGGCGGTGGTGGGTGGGGGAGGGGTGGAGAAGGATTCATGAGCAAAGGACGTGATGGGAAGGCAGAGGGGAGAAGGAACAGGACATGGGGGTGTGGACACCTAGCTGCTCAGGCTGCAGTGTGAATCCAAGAGTTCAAGTCCGATTTAGCAGGTCTGGGCTGGATCTGGGCTCTACCTTTCTAGCAAGCTCCCAGATGATGGTGACCCCACTGGTCCAGGGACCTCACACACCTCCAGGGCTGCAGACCACAGTCAGATCCTGGGGGCGCTGCAGAGTCTCTTTAGGCCAGGAAGGTCACATTGGAGCCAGTTTCCCTCTGGCTGGTCCTGGAAGATGAATGAAGCAGGAGCCAGCAGGCTGACGCCTCCGTATTTACGGGTGTCAATAAGGTCTGATGGGCACATAGCCTCGCCCCTTTATCAGTCTGCTCCTTGGGCCTGCTCTTACACCACCCCCATAGAGTTGAGTAATTGTCACGGAGGTCAAATGGCCTGAAAAGCTGAAAACATTTACTCTCTGGCCCTTTATAGAAAAAGTGGCCAGTCCCTGGGGTAAGGCTAGAAGTAATCAGATGCCGCAGTGGTTCAAGCCTGGGCAGAGGGGCCAGAGGTGGAAGAGAGACATGGCAGAACATGGCACGCCGTCAAGACCTGTCTTCCAATCTTGCATCCTATGCTTCCTGTCCGTAAGGAACTTTCTCTGCCAGTTCCCAAATTCTCTTTGAACCTCAGTTGATCTGTCTGTAAAATAGGCTTAATGATGGAACCTTGCTCATAGGAGTCATTGAGGATGACGGGAGATTTTTGCAGCCACATCCATAGACACCTAGTTCGACTCAATATAGAAGTAGTTACTTGGGGCTGGGAGTGGAGCTGTAGCCGTGGAGGGCTTGTCTGGCGTGCGTGAGGCCCTGGGTTCCATCTCCAGCTCTGCAAGGGCTTTCCTCCGTGTTTACAGGAATCATCTAATTCTCCCTCTACCCAAGTGACTCTGCAATCTCTCCCATCAGGATTTCTCCTCCCCTTGGAAACCGGAATGGCACTGTGACCTTCCTTTAGTTGGTACGATGTGGCTGAAGGGACCTGAGGACTGACCAATGGAAATACTTGAGCAAGCCCAGCCAAGATTAGCCAAGCCTGACCCAGACCAGCAGAACCACCCATCTGCCCACAGATGGAGCAATCCTGGATATTTTCTGTTTTAAGCCATGGAATTAGGGGACGTTTGTTGCTTGACAAAAACTGGCTTGAATGTGCTATGGTCTGAGTGTGTCCTCCAAGTTCATCCCAAGGCAACAGTGTTGTGTGACGGTACCTTTAAGATGTGGGCAGGTCAGGAGCTCTCTGCCTTCATGGACGGGTTAGTGATGCTGGGTGGAGGCAGGAGCTAGTTATCACAGAAGTGGGGTTCTGATGAAAGGATGGGTTCAGCCCCCTCGCCGCTCTCTCTCTTGCCTGTTCTTTAGCCCTTCTGCCTTTGACCTTGGGGCAATGCAGCAAGAAGGCCCTTGGCAGATGTGGATCCCTTAACCTTGAACTTTCCAGCCTCCAGAACAGTAAGAAGTAAATCTCCAGTTTCTCAAATAAATTCCTCTGCTAACGGTGTGCTCAGCTGCAAAAGGAAAACAAAAAAAAACTATGAGGGTGTATTAGACAGGTTTCTATTGCTGTCACAAAATACCTGAGAAAAATCAACTTAAAAGGAGAAAGGATTATTTGGACTCCTGGTTTCAGTCTGTGGTCACTTGGCTGAGTTTCTTTGGGCTTGTGGTGGGACAGGACTTCATGGCAGAAGCACGTGATGGAGGAGGACTGTTCACCTAATGGTATCCAGAAAGGAGAGAGAGAGAGAGAGAGAGAGAGAGAGAGAGGAGCCAGGGTCCCAGTATCCCTGAAGGCATGCCCTCCGTGTCCTGATTTCCTTCCACTAGGCCTTGCCTCCTGAAGGGTCTTACCACCTCCCAGTAACCCCAGAGACTGATGACCAAGCCTTTTTCCAAAGAAGTGAGAACTAATTATGGAACTTCTCATTCCATGATTATAATTCATACTTGCCTAAGTCCTAGATATAGTAAGTGTTCTATGTTAGGAGTGAAGCCTCCGGTGGATCCTCACTGGATGTATTCTTTTAATCAGTTAATATATCTGAACATCAATCCCCTCATTTGTAAAATGGGAGTGATACTCCCTCCTTCACTGGGAGAGTGCAAGAGTAATGCATAGAGAAAAACATCACCGCTAAGCAAGTGGAGGCTTCTTTTTTACTTAATATTTAATTATTTATGTATTCTAATTTGTTATACATGACAGCAGAAGGCATTTCAATTCACAGTGCACATATAGAGCACAATTTTTTATGGCTCTGGTTGTTCACAAAGTAGATTCACACCATTGGTGTCTTCATACATGTACTTAGGGTAATGATGTCCATCTCATTCCACCATGTTTCCTACCCCCATGCCCCCTCCCTTCACCTCCCTGCCCTTTGCTCTATCTAAATTTTCTCCATTCCTCCCATGCTCCTCCCTATCCCCAATATGGATGAGCACCCACATATCAGAGAAAACATTCGGCATTTGGTTTTTTGGGATTGGCTTACTTCACTTAGCATTATTTTCTCCAATTCCATCCATGTACCTGAAAATGCCATGATTTTATTCTCTTTTAATGCTGAGTAATATTCCATTGTGTATATATACCACGTTTTCTTTATCTATCCATCTACTGAAAGGCACCTAGGTTGGTTCCACAACTTAGCTGTTGTGAATTGTGCTGCTATAAACATTGATATGGCTGTGTCCCTGTAATATGCTGTTTTTAAGTCCTCTGGGTATAAATTGAGGAGTGGGATAGTTAGGTCAAATGGTGGTTCCATTCCAAGTTTTCCAAGGAATCTCCGTACTGCTTTCCAGATTGGTTGCACCAATCTGCAGTCCCACCAGCCATGTATGAATGTGCCTTTCCCCCCACATCCTCGCCAACACTTATTGTTGTTTGAATTCTTAATAGTTGCCATTCTGACTGGGGTGTGATGAAATCTTAGAGTGATTTTGATTTGCATTTCTCTAATTGATAGAGATGTTGAACATTTTTTCATATATTTGTTGATTGATTATATATTATCTTCTGAGAAGTGTCTGTTCAGTTCCTTGACCCATTTATTGATTGGGTTATTTGGGGGTTTTTTTGGGGGGGGTTAGATTTTTTTAGTTCTTTACATATTCTAGAGATTAGTGCTCTATCTGATGTACATGTGGTAAAAAATTTTCTCCCATTCTGTAGGCTCTCTATTTACCTCCTTGATTTTTTCTTTTGCTGAGAAGAAGCTTTACAGTTTGAATCCATCCTATTTATTGATTCTTGATTTTATTTCTTGCGCTATAGGAGTCTTATTAAGGAAGACAGGGCCTAATCCTGCACAAGGCAGATTTGGGCCCATTTTTTCTCCTATTAGGTGCAGGATCTCTGGTTTAATTCCTGGGACCTTGATCCACTTTGCGTTGAGTTTTAGCACATGGAGGCTTTGATTCCACTGGCCAGGCCTCTTTTCTCCAATGCCAGGAAGCTTATATACTATTAAGAATAGAATCATCAAGGTCCTTATCAAACTTCTTCACAAAGAAAAGCCTCTACATCCAGAGGGACACTGCCCTCCTTCTTTATGTCTTCTAGCCTGGAAAGAGCATCCATCAGACGCTGTGTCTGTCAGCTTTCCCTCACTGTGACAAAGTACCTGAGATAATCAGCTTGTAAGGAGGAAAGGTTTCTTTCGTCTCATGATTTTAGAAACTTCAGGCCATCATCAGATGGCTTTGTTGCTTTGGGGCCTGTGGCAGGGCAGCACGTCATGGTGGAGAGGATGCGGTAGAGGAACGCTGTTCACCTCATGGTGGCAGGAAGTGAAGACAGAGGAAGAGGTGGAGTCAGGACCCCAATGTCCACTTCAAGGGCATGCCCCAGTGACCTAACTTCCTTCCAGGAAGCCCCACTTCCTACAGGTTCCGCCATCTCCCCAGGGCACCACAGATTGGGGACAAAACCTTCAACACAAAGAGTGTTGAAGGACATTCACGACCTACAGCAGAAACAGCCTG